TGCAGGCGATTCGCCGCCCTTGTCGCTGAGCGCCCGGGGAACCAGGCATGTTGCACAAAATTGCCACCACTAGGTGTCGCCCTACGACCCTCTACATTCGATCGATCGTACATGGCGTCTCCCGCACTCAGGCGGCGCCGGGCGCCCGGCTCCGGAGGGTCCTCCCACGCTCATGCTCCGGGGGCGGGCGGGGGGAGGGGGCAACAAACGGACAGCAGGGCAGGGATCTCACCCACCGCCTCAAACAAGGGGCACAAAGGCCACCGGCCGTTATTACGCCGGCCGAGACATAGTGAAGTTTGGCCTGGACTCGGGCCTACCCCAGTCAGCCGACCATGAAAGTGAAAGGAAGGAAAGCGAAAGGAAAAACAAACAATCAAACAAGGAGAAAATGACTTGTTATCACGCCGGTCACCCCAGAATACAGTGAAATCAGGGATGGCCGGCCGACCCCCTCAGATGACGAAAGTGAAAGTATGACAGGAAGCTATGAAAAACGGGTGAATCACTCTCTAAGATGGCGGCTCAGGTCACAGAGTGTCACTGGCCGGCCAGTTACAAGACCACACTGATGTGAGACTCGGCGAGTGGGACGGAGGGAGGGAGGGAGGGAGGGAGGCGGCGATGGCAGGTCTGCGCCATTTCAGTCCCCTTTTTAAAAACATTTTACCACTTTCTTCAGAGTTGTGTGGTGTCCCCTCCCCCAACCCACCACAGTTTGCTTCTTGAATCAATTAGACACCCTCCCCCACTCCCAGTGTGCTTAAGAAGAAAGCCTGCACGGCCTAGGTCAGTAATTAAAAGAAATCAGACAGATATGTATCTCCCTGCACAAAATCTAACTCTAAATGTGAAATCTTCCACACTGGAACAGTGAGCCTGATTTCGATCAGGCAGGCCAGTAAGCAGGTGAAACTACCACACACACACACACACACACACACACACACACACACACACACACACACAGGAAATAATAAAGTGCCAGGCAAATACTAACAATCGAAAAGGAAATATAAAACAAAAAAAAACAAAAACAAAAAACGATCGCCTGGTCCACAAGGTGAGCTCCAGGCCAGGACAGCTAGGCAGGTTTTATTACACAGAGAAAAACATGGAAAAACAAAAAACAAACAAGCATAGAAAAATCTCTGTGAGTTCCAGCCCAAGCCTGGTCTACCGAGCGAGTTCCAGGACAGGCTCCAAAACAATACAGAGTAACACTGTCTCGAAAAAAAAAATCAAAAAAAAAAAAAAAAAGAAAGAAAGAAAGAAAAGAAAATGACTTTGAGGACAGCCTGCACTACAGAGTAAGTTCCAGGACACAGAGAAATCTCTCTCTCTCAGAAACAAACTGCAAAAGTATGCAAACTTCCCCTAAGGTCAGACCCCACCCTGGTGAATACGCCCTTAATCCCAGAGATCACTCTGGAAGCAGAGACTGAGTTGCCGGACAGGTTCCAAACACACAGAGAAAAAACAAAACAAACCACACAGCTGAACTTTGTGACCACAAGCGTTCCTTTTCTGCATATCTGACCACTTTCAGCTAGCTAGCATATAATTCTTTCCCAGGTGAGGAATATCCAAAACATATAGGATGTCCAGGTTAGGAAAAGAGGGCTCCAGCTGTCTGGTTATGGAAAGCACTCATCTATACTAGGTAGAATTTCCAATCGATAGAGCAGTTCTAAATCTGTCCTGGATGCCCCCAGGAAAACTTTGTAGGCAAGCCTTCCAAATGCTTGAGTCCCCCAGGGTGTTCTTGGTAAAACCTAACCTTTGGTTGCTGTCTAAAAGAGGAAGATATCAACAACAATAGCAGCAGCAGCATAAATAGATAGATAGATGAATAAATAAATATTAATTTTTAAAAAAGCAAGATGGAGCCGGGCGGTGGTGGCACACGGCCTTTAATCCCAGCACTCGGGAGGCAGAGGCAGGCGGATCTCTGTGAGTTTGAGGCCAGGCTGGACCGACAGCCTCCAAAACAATACAGAGAAACCCTGTCTTGTAAAAACCAAAAAAAATAAATAAATAAAAGCAAGATCCCAAGAGATATGCATTGTACCCCAGGGAAGTGGAATGAGGCTAGATCTCCTGAGCAGATTGGGGCTCTCTTTCCCCCTTTCCAACTACATACCCTATGCCTTTCTGCACAATGGGATCCCTGTATCCAATAGAGGAACCCCTAGCAACTGAGGGCTCACATCCAGGAGAAAACCAATCCCTTTCAGGATTTTCCTAAACTCCAGGTGTGTCCCGTGAGGCCAGGTTAGGGAAATATGTTCCAGGCCCATTGATCCATATTAAAAGCACATTACAAACAGAAATACTATAAACAGTGTCTCAAACAGTGGGTCAAGCAGCAGCTGTAGACAAGGTGACCAGAGGAAGACAATGCTTTAAATCATGATCAGAGGAAGACAATGCTTTAAATCAGGCCTATGTGAGCTTATGGAGTGTTATGGAGAGAGAGAGTGAATTGTTGAGTATGAACTATCAAGTCTTTGGGGCTCTCTGAGACATTTCATGCCTGGTTTCCCTTTTACTGTACATTTGGTTTGATTTCAAATTTAATCCCTCAGATTATCCCTGGCTATTTAGGAAACATCTAACATAAACTGTTTCAGTTTACCATACCCATTCCATTTCCCTCAGAGGACACCTGGACTTTTAAAATGCTTTGCTTTTTGTTTCATGTAAGTTCCCCAGCAAAGGGGCTGGAGAGATGGCTCAGAGGTTAAGAGCACTGCCTGCTCTGTTTTTCCAGAAGTCCTGATTTCAATTCCCAGCAACCACATGGTGGCTCACAACCATCTGTAATGAGATATGGTGTCCTCTTCTGGCCTGCACACATGCAGGCAGAATACTGTATACATAGTAAACAAATAGATTTTTAAAAAAGTTCCACAGCAATGAAATATATACAAATAAATAAAAACGAACAAGAATGAATATAACTTACAAAGAAATGAGAGAAACAGACATTCATGATGTTTATAAATGTGTAGTTTTTACTCAAGCTTTGCATGCCCAATAACCATGAATTAGTCAATTTATTTACTTTTTTGTTTATTTACCAGTGACACTGAACTTCTCTAGGATTTTAAGTGTTCAATAACCACTCTCAGAGAAACAAATCAGTATCCCTCCCATATACAAGTGATGAAGATAATATAAAGAAGTCAGAGGAAGAACACCTTTTGCAATAGCCACAAATAACATGAAATTATTTTTAGGTAAATCTACTCAAACCAGTGAAAGACCTGTATGACAGTAACAATGGCAATCTTTCCAAATGCAATCTACAAATTGAATACAATACCCATAAAAATGCCAACACAATTCTTCACAGACATCCAATTAACAATAGTCAACTGCATACAGAAAAGAAAAAGCCCAGGATAGCTAAAACTATACTGTACAATAATTGAACTTCCAGAGGCATCACCATTACTGCCTTCAAGCCACCATCATAACATAGGCTTTGTTGTGCCATAAAGACAGATACTTGGATCCATGGAATGGAATGGAAGACCCTGGCATTTATCCACACACCTATGAACACCTGACAAATAGCCAACATTCTACAATTGTGAAAAAGAAAGCACCTTCAAACAATGGTGCTAGTATAACTGGATGTTGCCAGTTAGATGAATGCAAATAGATCCATATCTATCATACTGCACAAAATTCAAGTCAAGTGGATCAAAGACCTCTACATAAAGACAGTTACATTAAACACTCAGGAGGAAAAAGTAAAGTAGATCTCTGGGAGTTCGAGACCAGCCTGGTATACAAGAGCTAGTTCCAGGACATCCTCCAAAGCCACAGAAAAACCCTGTCTCAAAAAACCAAAAAATAAATTGTGAATTTGCCTTGAACACATTGGCACAGAAGACTACTACCATGAACTCAAAGGATTTTACAGGCAGAGAGGCAGAGAAAATCCCTAAACTCAAATAAATTGTAAAATTAGGTCATCAAGCAGGTTGGCCAGCAGCTTTGCTGTCTGCACACCTTCACCTGCTTCTGAAATTTTATAATGACTTGTTACAGCAGCATACAGATGTATCTTACCTTATATATTGTCCTGGAAGTTATCCTTGGTGACAGTGTTGCATGATTGCCATATACTCCCTGAGAGACCTGCACACTTCATTCACGAGCCTTAAGTTTTCATGAAGCTCTGGGTAGAATCAGCCACTGCTGAACATGTCTGCCAAAGGTTACTTACTGGTCACATTCTGTGATGACATTGACTTGAAAGGCAATGAAGGTCTCACTTTAATTCCTTACTGTTAGCATATCAAGAGAGGAGGAAGGGGTTTTACTAAGTTTAACAAAAGTCATTGAAAATGTCTCCTGGGCTAGGTGTGGTGTCCACGCCTTAATCTTATCGGGGAGGAGGATGATGCAGGCAGACTTGCAGGCCAGTCTGGTATGCTTAGTGAGTTCCAGCAATGCTGGAGATACAATTCAAAGGTAGAATCTAAAGATGGTGTTTTGGCGACCTCTCCTGGTGAATCAGTCTCTATGCATTTTTCGTGGTGAAATAAAGTGGTTCAAAGAAGGCCTGACATGCTACCTACCTTATGTATTTTGTCACATGTCATTGGTCAATTAAAAAAAAAACAAATAAGAACAATCTTATAATGGTTCCTAGGTTTAAACTAACCGGTGGCATAACAACATTACGTGCACTTACCTGCCTCCTGTCATTTGAGGGGGGCAGAGGGGGAGGGTGGGAGGAGGAGAGAGGGAGAAGAGGGAGGGAGGGACAGCACAGATTGGGTACATATCCACGTTTCAACCAACTTACAAAGAGAATTCCTTAGGCAGAAAACTGAGGATTCTTCTTGAATCAGCCAGAATGTCAGAATGTCAAAATTTCAGATTCATGCAGCCATTTAGAATTACCTGCAAGCATTTACCTTGGAAATGACCTCATTTGCATGAATAGAATTGCATGATGGGAAATACTTGGCCAAGTTGCTCACCGTAACCAAAAGAGAACTCTCTCTACATGGATACTTGGAAAGACTGAAAAGTGTTACAAGCTTTCTCTAAGCCTGGCTGGCCTTTAAGATTCAGGACTTTTACAGCGGTAAGGAAATGTGGTTGAAGTTTTGTAGTTTACTTGCATTTGTGTTAGGATTTGTATGCCGAAGGAGATTTGAGCCTGTCACTTGTTTTTGTTAATTTTTTTTGTCTTTCTGGTTTTATTCTTTGTTATGTTGTCTAGAGCTAGGGAAGATCTCACATCTGGTGGCTGTGAGCCATCAGTTGTATACTGGAAGTAGTTTGCTTTACTGTTTTCTTTAAATTTCTTTTTTTGCTGTTAGTTTTTCAAGATATTGTTTTGGTGTGGTGTTTTAGCTGTTGTGGAAATCATACTGTATTACAGGCTAGCCTCAAATTCACAGATATATATCTACTTCTGCCTCCAAGTCCTCCTGCTGATTTAAGACCTGCAATAACCCTGCCCAGCTTCTTGTTTTAATATTATTATACAACATTACCAACTTTGGCCTCCTAAATATCCTTCTGCAACCCCCAGGTCCCTCGGTTTTTCAGATACAGAGTTTGTTTGTGTAGCCTTGGCTGTCCTCTGGAGACTATATTGGACTGTAAGTCAGAGATATACCTGCTGAAGTTAAAAGGTATGTGTCATCATCACTTGGCTTCATTAAAAAATTAAAAATTCATTTAACTTAATTTTATGTGTATTGCTGTGAAGGTGTCAGACGCCTCTGGAACTGGACTGACAGACAGTTGTGACTGCAATGTTGGTGGTGGGTGGTGGGAAGAGCAGCCAATGCTGTTTACCACTGGGCCATTTCTCCAGGTGGCTAGATATTTTTTCAATGATGCCACATGGATTTTATTGGTAGACAGGGATGGAAAGGGGGGTGAGAGGTAACCAACCCATGCAGAGCTGAGAGAGAGAGAGAGAGAGAGAGTGAGAGAGAGAGAGAGAGAGAGAGAGAGAGACATGAGAGTAGGAGAGGAGATGAGATGGAGAGTAAGACAAGAGTAAAAGAGTAAGAGCGTAAGCAGGCAGGGGTCAGTCCTTTAAAGGGGTCCTTTGCACCTGCATGGTTCTCACAAAACTCTGTGCTGGCCAGAGAAGTGCCTGAGGGCATCTTGCCAGGTAACAGGGCCGGCTAGTGTAATGCCTGAACTTTTCATTCACACCTTTAATCCCAGCACTCAGGAGTCAGAGGCAGGCGGATCTCTGTGAGTTCAAGGCCAGGCTGGACCGACAACCTCCAAAACAATACAGAGAAACCCTGTCTCATAAACCCCCCCAAAAAGACTGCTTCCTGCTGACCTGTGGGTGTCGATCATCTTTGGGGGAACCTGAGAAAGTTGGGGTGTACCACTCTGGTTGTTCTATTGTAGTCTAGGCTGTATGGGACTCTTTGGCGCCTCTGTAGATCTGGCAAGATGTTAGCAGAGTAGAGAACAAAGTTAGGTTTAAAATTTTATTTTTTAGGTCCTGGTATTTGAGGGGAAGTTTGTAAGATGAGGGAGGGGTTCCCAAGGGGTCCCAAGATGAGGGAAGGGAGTCCCATGACCAGGGAGTGAATCTGACCTGTTTGGATGGGTCCAATTTGGCTTTCTGGAACTTACAAGAATCCTTTGAGTTTGTGAAAACATAAGTATTAGACATATCAGCAGCATACTTTAAAAGACTTGGCTGAAAGCATTAACATTTTTAAAACTGACAGATATTTTTAGCACAATGTAAAGCACCTTAATTTTGAGCTTATAGTTATGATTATATAGTGGTATAGTTGTTTAGCACTCTGTTGGAGTTAGATTAGTTAGTAGCTTATCAGAACTTTATTTGTTATTGTTAAGACTATGAAAAGTAATATAATGAAAGAGAAACCTGGAACATATTTTTTAAATGTCTCAACTCACTTTATTACATTACCATCTTACATAGATAAACCTTAGAATACCTGTTCCTGAAATGTATTTTATGACAGAGATTTGCCTTGTCTGTTAATTTAAGCTGGCAAACCTACTGGCCATCAAAAGCATCAGAGTTCTTGCAAAGGATAAGATTTTACCTGAGATTGGAGAATGAGAGACTTGGTAGCTGACTGCATCAACAGCCACCCCCAAGGTTCTCGACAGTTGTTGAAGTCAGAGGCTCCAAGAACACCTGCCTTTTGCTCATAGTGAGACCCGTGGATTGGGGCTTCTTAGGAAGGCTTTCCTACCATTGATCCGAGCAACATGGAGAAAGTTGACTCCAGTGTCCTCTTTTCCAGTGAAGAGTCCTTTGAAGCATTTGAGGTGAAGGGCAGGGTTGCTCAGTGGCCAGCATTGCCACTTCTGTGGGCAGAGTTTCTTCAGTGTTCACCAGTCTTCTTGGAGGACATGGGGTGGTGCCAGCAGCTGGCCTGTCTCTCTGTTATAAAAACCTTTTAAATAAAACATTTAAATGCCATGTTCTCTAGATCTCTGAGCATTTGAGGACTGTTTGTCTGTTTAGTATATCTTTGTTTTTTTTTTTTTTTTTAGTTTTTGGAGACAGGGTTTCTCTGTGGCTTTAGAGACTGTCCTGGAACTAACTCTTGTAGACCAGGCTGGTCTCAAACTCACAGAGATCTGCCTGCCTCTGCCTCCTGAGTGCTGGGATTAAAGGGGTGCACCACCACTGCCTGGCTTTGTTTAGTATATCTTAGCAGACAAAATTTATCTTTAGTGACTTGCCTTAAGCGCATAGGTGGCTAGAGAATAGAATAGAAGCTTTACCTTTGTAATCAGCTTACAGGAAGGACTGGGTGTTATAAATACTTTGTTAATTTGAAATAGACCCTTATAACTTTAAATGTTTATCATCACTTAAAAGATATAACAATTTATAAATATTTGATATTTAGTATAGTTGAATTAACGTTACCTCATTTTTTACACATACATATAGATACATTAAACAGGATTGGGTAAAAGTGTTTGACTCACACTCAGCAAACAGATTTAAAGAGACAGTCAGTGATGAGAAGGAAGATTTGTTGTAGATAGAACAGGGGACCCTGGAAAGGCACAGTATTCCATAAACAAGCCATGCACAACAGGGCCAGTGAGAGATGAAATTAGAGACAAAAATAAAAGCGCAACAGAGAGAAAAAGTAAATGAATTGTATCTGTCAGCAGGCTTGGCTGGCAGAAGCTGGCTGGACTGAGTGGGCTTGTATACAGCTAGTTCACAGGGTAAACATGGGGACTCAGTAAACACGTTTCTAACGTAGGCCACATGGTTAGGATCGCCAAGATGGTGACCTCTATAGGCACATTTCTGTCTGCCAGCATGAGTGGAGGCAGAAAGATGTGTGACCACCATAGGTCTAAGAAACAAATGAATGGCCAGTGCCAGGGTATAAAACCCGAGAGACCCTTCGTGGGTCTGAGCAGTAAAAAAAGTCTGAAAACCTCAACCTCATTTGTGGGGGAAAAAATGAAAAACTCTCAGAGTGTCCTGAGCAGACACTAAACCTGGATGAACAGGAGAGAGGCAAAACAGGATACTCCCAGGTGGAAGGTGGTTCCCGCCCTGAGGCAGGTTTAGCCAAGATGGAAAGTGGCAGGAAGCCTCTGTGACCTCGAAGCCTCTGTGACCTGCAGGAGTTTTTTTAGGTAGCTTTTAAAGCTAGAAGAATGAGATTTAGAGGAAGAAAGAATGTTGAAGAGAATGTTTAGGAGAGAGGTAGAGAAAAGCTTGAACATAAGGTAACTCCTTCCATCAATCAGATCGCTGATAGTGACTGGAGAAGTCTCAGTAGATAAGTATATTTTACAGGACCTTAAGTGTGGATGACTTAAGGCATAGAGGAATTTACTTTCTCAGTTTGTTACCCATGTGCCAGGTCTAAAGGAAAGAAAATGGCAAGATGAACTCTTCAGAACTCGTCAGCCTGAGAGTCTAGCCAGAGCAGAAAAGACCACCCAAGAAAAGGAACCAGTGCCTGAAAGGTCAAAAACTGCTGAAGGCCCAGAAAGGAGCCGAAAAAATTACCAATAGGCCATGCCCATGGAAAACAAACCAAAAATGATTGTCACACGATGGGGGTCAACCATGACCTTGAAGGTTGTGTGAGTTCCCCATGTTTTCAAAAACACCGTAAGGGTGGTGGAAACTCAACGGTCAGCCCTTAGGGTTCAGGAAAATGTTTACGCTGACTCAAAGAAATGTTCATCTTGGTTACCTGAAAATATTATTTTGGAACAAGATATTTTGTATATGTACTTAGCCTGGAGCTATTTATGCAGACCAGTATGTTCTCCCTGATATCTTCCTACCTCTGTCCTCCTCCTCCTTGAGTTCTCCAAATAATAGTGGGTACCACCATGGCTTGCATTTTCTTCTTAGTGTCCTACAACCAGAAACAATCATGTTCCTTAATAGGATCATGATCATTATAAAATCATCTAATGATCATTATAAAATATACCATTTGTTTATGGGGTTCAGGATAATGGCCGAATTTCTACCATGGCTTCTGACATGGCTTATAAAGTAAAAACTTGTAGCTGGATATTTAGAGAGCATTGTTCCACCGGCCTGAGTTGTCCAATGATATTCAATGACCTGGGTTCCCTAGCACTATCGTTGGTCTGAAAGACCTTTAGACTTTGTAAGGTAGAGGGGTAAGCATGAATCTCTATAGAGAACTAGTGTGCCTTGGGTAACATAGAGACCAAGGCAAATGTGGAAGAAGCCACTGCTCAGGTGCACTAAACTCTTATTTCCACAAGGTGGCACCCTATACCTGGTATGCACATTTTCATTTCTGCAGCACAAACACATGATGAACTTTGGCCAGAAGAGGGCGCAGAAACACTACACTTCTATTTCCTTGCATATATTTTGAGTATATTCTGCCACTTCCCCTACCAATACCATAGGATCCTATAGGAAAAATAAATAATACTGGTCTAAAAGAAAAAAAAGAGAGAAACATTTAAAAAATGACTTCTAATGATACTTTGACATACTTATAGATCAATTACTTAGCAGACACACAGGCAGACACTTGGAACACTGAGCCATAAAAATTGAATATTGCCATAAAATTCTTGTTCTCAGAGCTCAGGGAACCCTATAGGAGAGGAGGTGGAAAACAGTTTATGAGTCTTAGGGAATGGCAGACACCAAGGACAAAAAGGTCCTCTAAAGAAACATGATCCCTGCAACATTTGCACTGTGTCTCTGTTGAGGACAATCCATTCCGTGATGCCACATAAGGAATATTCTGTCCATGACATCATGTGAGTGGCTCAGGAAGTTCCAGGTTTGGGAGAATTTAGGAGTTCCAGCAACCTCATTAGGTCTGCAGCTTCATCAGTTTCTCAGCGTGCTCCCTCTCCTCATGGGATTGGTGGAGAAATAATTCGGCAAAGTTCCTCAAAGCCACATGATCAGTTGAAGTAACAAGACATAGACAGACATAGGAGGGGTACAGTTCTAGGTTGATCTGGCAGTGGATGGCAGCCTCCGAGTCCTGGTGGTAGTTCTGGCTCACTGGCGAGGGGAGGCGGGCACGGTGGTGAGGCTGGAGCGGTGGAGTGACAAGAGATAAGGTTGCAGTGGGTTCTGTCCTGGAGCACCGGCTGGGGTTGGAGGGGTCGAGCACCGGTTCCGTTCAAGCACTGTTGAAGCAGGAAACTGTGGTGACTCTGGTTGAGAACATCTGTTTCAGACACTTTTAATGACAGTGCCTAGATGCAAAGCCATATTTTGCCAGAATGTATCTATAGTGTACATGCTTGCAGTCCTCATAGAGGCCAGAATATGGAAAATATTCCCAAGAATTGGAGTTAGAGCCGGCTGTGAGTGATCTTGTGGAACAGAAGCTGGGTACTCTGCCAGAGCAATCATACAGTGAACATTTTACCAGTGTATGTAGTAATGTGCCCAAATGTTGCACTTTTGTACTTTGGATGTCAAGTGGTAAAGATTCCAAGCTCAGTGTTCCTTGCTCTGTCCATGTTATCTTTTCTCAGGAGAGCAGTGCATTCCTCAACTGCCTCAGCACATGCACATCATACACATTGAGCAATGCACCCTTTCAGATATTAATGGTTACTATCTGTGTGGAAAGATGCTGATATTTATGTAACTGTCAATACCAAGACAACCTTTTATTTTAAACATGTGTTAATCCAGTTTTATGTGCATTTTATTTACATTGTTATATGAGATAATTCTGTTCCTGGAAGGGTGTCCCAAGTTCAGCCAGAGGAGAGGGCTGCAAACATCAAGCAGGAAGAATTTGCACAACTTAATAGTAAATATTCACAGAACTCTTAGACTCCTCTTTAAAGCCAGAGAAGGACTTGCCAGATAATTCTATTGGGACCTCTGTAATGATTTGATTAAGATCTCTGTAAATCAGATGTGCTTTGTTTTAGATTTTATAGAAAGTAAGGTTCAGTCTTCATCAGGCCTAAGGTCAAAGGAAAATTGTTTGGAGAGAAAAAATTCAGGGATCTGGAGCACATGCATTCCAGGCTGATCATGTGCTCTCAGAATAAGTAGAAAAGGGATATGTGGCTTAATAAAGTTTGTGTTGCAAGAACCTTCAGTCTTTCCTGTTCCTGGTCCCTTGATTGTATTTTGCAGGTTTTTCTAATATATATTGTACCCAGAAATAGCAGTGCAACCAAAAAAATAGCACGGGAATTTTCACAGATGACTCCAGACCAAGGGTTATGTTGGATGATTGAAGCACCATAGCAGTGATCTACATCATGCTGGTTTGTGTGTGTATGTGTATTTTATTTTTCCTACCCATGATGCCTTTACATAGCCCAGGCAGACTTCTTACTTGTGACTACTCATTTCTCAGCATCGCAAATCCAGGTTTGGACCCTCAAACTCTTTCTGGGAATGTTTGCTTTTGATATATAAGGGCTCACCTGGGTTCACGTGCCTGCAATCAGAACTGACAACAGTTCATCCCATCTTCACTAACATCCTCATGGCTGGTTTGAGCTCTGCTGAGACTCTTGGGAAATTTTCATCATTACATACAAAACTTCTCTTTGTTTGGACTCATCCAAAACCTATAATAGTCTGAGGATCTTCCCCACGGGCTTATACGGTACAAGTGACCCATGTTTCCTACTCTGTGTCTCCTGCCTAGATTATCAGCATCTTTTATATCTCACTTTATTAGTGTGTATATTCAGAGGAAAAGTACCAATCCTGGGCAATTTTGGAAAGTGGGCTTTGAACTCCACACAGATAAGAAGTTTCTACCAGAGCAGAAAGTTAGATCTCTGGCTTTGGATGGAGGAGGTATTCAAAGGATCCCTGTGCCCCTGGAGTCTCCTCGAAAAGGCAACTTGGATTTATGTCAATTTGAGGTAAGATAGCACAGAGTCAAGGACTGTACAATATGACACCAGTAGTCCTCTTCAACATTCTATTATATCTAGGAGAGCAATGGCATCTCCTGTGATGTCACCAGTGTTGTGACAACACCAAGTGCCAGTATGGCATTTGTTCAGTGCCTTCATTGTTGACCCATACACAAGTTTGCAAGACTGTGCAGCTATTTCAGAGAGAGAATGGAGAACATAAAGAGACCAGAGAGAGGCACAAGGAAGCAGGCTTCAGTCTCAGTATCAAACATTGTAAAATAAGTGGCTATGGGGAAGGAACAGAGAGTTCTGGGTAGGAAATGAAAGTAAGACAGTTCTGCTTCATAGTTTTCCAAACGACAATCAAAAGGAATCTAAGAAACAGAATTCACTCACAATAAAACTTTACTGCTTGATTTTTGGCAAAAATCTTTGTTAGAATGTTTTTGCTCTTGGCATCATCTGTGCTCCTTGTGAATAAGTTTGGCATTTAATGTGCTCTTAACTGTAAGGAAAATTTTCAAGTGACCAAACATTTAATAACACTTCTTATACAATAACAGACCAGGATCAACATCTTCATTAACAGTGAAAGAATATACCATTTAAAACTTTGTATTGACCATATATCACACTGATGACTTACACTGATGTTTTTCTACTTAATGGTGTTCCAATTCGATAAATTGTTAGATTTACTGAATTGTCTACATAATATAAGATTTTTAGCTTCTTTAACTGGGATTATATTCCAGGGGATGTTAACAGAAGTAAATGAAACACAGTGCATTGTATATGCAATTGAAAATCTGAGATAATAAAGGAAAGAACTGTGAGGGGGGAATTCATGAAAAAATATATGTTATTAATCTTCCTTTTGTGCAAAAATTATAATATAGGCTATTTTCCTTTACCAGTATTTCATAACACAATTAACAAATGGCAAATATATCATTCCACTTGCTAAAATTAGAAAAGAAATAGTCATTTTTGCCTCTCTTATTATTTTCACCTGTTGGTCCATAGCAATGTTTTCTGAAAGTACTCTTTTTTTTAAAGATTTATTCATTTATTATGTATACAGTATTCTGTCTGCATGTATGTCCACAGGCCAGAAGAGGGCACCAAATCTCATTACAGATGGTTGTGAGCCACCATGTGGTTGCTGGGAATTGAACTCAGGACCTCTGGAAGAGCAGTCAGTGCTCTTAACCTCTGAGCCATCTCTCCAGCCCTGAAAGTACTCTTGACTTATTTAAACTGTATATTCATAGAACCATATGTAATTGATTTTATTGCCACAAGATAAGTGAAAACCATTTAAATATTTCTGAAACCTTAAAATTGTATCATGGTGTATTCTTGGCTGAGCTGGGTCCCACTGCCCTTCTCTATCCCAAGGAAACATGCATATGCTATATTTGTTATTAAGCTGTTGGTAATTGACTAAGGTTTCTTATTTGCTAGCTCTGTCTAAATTAACCCATTTCTAATTATGTATTACCACAAGATTTTCTTTTAACAGAGAAAGGTCAGGGCCTCTTACTCGATTAGGGTCTAAATTGCATCTGCTCAGTGTCTCCACATAAAAGAGAATAAGAGAGAAGACAGTGATTTCCTGTTAGTTCCTGCTTATATACTGTTACTGCCCAGTTACCTCACTTCCTGGGTCACATGATGATTCCTCTCTGCCTACATTTCCCAGAATCCTCCTCATTTGTTAGTCCACATATCTTGCTGCCCATTGGCCAACAGCACTTATTAATCAACCAATAAGAGACATATTTACAGAATGACATCTCTCATCATCTCCTTTTCTGTCATTATAAAAAGAAAGGTTTAGCTTTAACACAGTCAAATTATTTATAAAAAACAGTTATCAAGTAAGAATTATAGTTAACAATATTTAGTCCATTAACATTTAGCAAACATTAAAGAAAATATTCTATCATCTATCCTATCTTTGTGGGTCTTAAGTCTTATATGTAATTTATCTTTTATCATAACTGAGGAAAACTATAACCATGACTATCTGTCTTCAACTCCATCAAAGAACATAGAAGGATAATGTATAAACTCTAGAATTGGCAGCCTACAAGCCTGGTGCCAGTGAGTCTGGGAAACAGGGAGGTTCCCAAGATATATGATACCCCAGAGAGGTGGAATGAGGCAAGATATCCTGAGCAGATTGGGAACATCAGGGGAGGAGAGAGGGAACCAGGAAAAAGAGAGGGGGAGAAGAGGAAGGGAGAAAAAGCCAAGGGGGATCAGGAAGGTTGAGTCGAGGTAAGAATAGAGGAAGGCAGGATGAGAGATACATTAATAGAGGGAGTCAGTATAGGTTTGAGGAGAGAGTTGACACTAGTGAGATTTCCATAGATCTACAAGGATAATGCCAACTGGCGAACTAAGCAATAGCAAAGAGACTACATTAATAGACCCTCTCTGATGATAAGGATGTATATACCATCCTAGAACCTTCATCCAGTGACTGATGGCAGCAGAGACACACAGCTAAACACTGAACTGAACTCCTGGAACCCAGTGACAGAGATGGAGGAGTGATGAGCAAAGGGGTCAAGACCTTGCTGGTGAAACCCACAAAGACAGCTGACTGGACAAGGGGGGGTTCTTGAGCCCTAGACTGATGGCTGACAGGCCAACAGGGGACTGAACTACACTCCATGAATGTAGTGTCAGTGAAGAGGCCTCAGAAATCTGTGGGGCCTTGGGTAGTATATCAGTGTTTACCATGATATATGAATGAACTCTGGGAGCCGATTCCACATGGAGGAATGCTCTCTCAGTCTGGATAAATAGGGAAGGGCCTAGGTCATGCTCTGGATTACATGAGAGACTCTGCAGATCCCCCAAAGGAGGGCCTTACGCTACCTATGGAATGATGTGGGGATTGGATGGGGGGCTGGGAGGTTGGTGAAGGGCCAAGGGAGGAGGGTTGGGAGAGGTAGCTGGGATTGACATGTGAAGCATGCATATTTCTAATTTAAATAAAAACATATATTGAGGAAAAATGAAATAAAAGTATAAGATAATACAAACAAACAAAATGCTCCAAAATCTGAAGAATCACACAAAACAGTTTGTCAGTCATATTCAATAGGTCTACTATTTTATATGCCCTTTTTATGTTTTCTCAAAGAGGCCATATAAGGGATTAAATATGATTAAAACTTTAAATCAATCTGATTCTTAAAATATCTGTAGTGCCAGGCTTTGGTGGTGCACGCCTTTAATCCCAGCACTCAGGAGGCAGAGGCAGGCAGATCTCTGTGATTTCAAGACCAGCCTGGTCTACAACCTCCAAAGCCACACAGAATCCCTGCCTCAAAAAAAAACAAAACAAAACAAAAACAACAACAAAAAAGAAAACATCTGTAGTGAATGACTTCAAGTTAGTTTGTTTCATAGCTCTTCAGTGCATAATGAACTCCCAATATTGAACTTTGTAACAGTTCCTGTATAATCACATTCAAATGCTGGAAAAAATTGGGTAATATTTAAAAGTTTTATGATCTAATGTGCAAAGACTTGGAAACATATAGACATGAATATTTACAATCTGAGAAAAATTCAAATGTAAAATTTATTCATTATTTTAACAATGCTATTTTTATTTAAAATCCTTAGTGTTTTTCTTAATCTTGATAACATCTTCATGAAGTAAGAACACAGCAATTTAAGTGGTTTCATTTTCAGAGTTAAAGTCTTGGACTTTCAAAGCTCAAATTAGGAACAGATGAGATGAGCTAAACCCATTTGAATTTGCACAGTTTTGCTCTCATTATTAATTTCCTCTTTTTAATGTGTCTTAGAATATAATTTATGTCTTTTTAAAAAAGATTTATTTATTTATTATGAATATAACATTCTTCCTCCATTTATGTCTGCAGGCCAGAAGAGGGCGCCAGATCTCATTATGGATGGTTGTGATCTACCATGTGGTTGGTAGGAATTGAACTCAGAACCTCTGGAAAAGCAGTCTGTGCTCTTAACCTCTGAGCCATCTCTCCAGCCCCCTATAATTTATGTCTTATAGGCTAAATATTAAAAGAAGTGTGTGTGTGTGTGTATCTGAATCTTAAACTAAAGGAAAGATGATGTCAGAACCACTTAAAGCTTGAGTTTTGTGTGTGAGTCTAACTGACTTGGGACCAGTGAGATGGAACAGGAGATAAAGGTGTCTGCTGTCAATTCTGACAACCTGAGTGTGACCAAAAAAGACCAAATGCCAAAGAAAGAGGACTGGAAATGAAGCTTCCAGATAGTTCCAAGTTTGTGATATCTTTCTTGCACAGATAAAAGCCTCTCTGGGGGTCAGAGAATGGAGCTTGACACTAACTAACCATAAAGGTCTGGAGGTCTGTACAGACAGGCAAGATGTGGCATAGCTGAGGAGCAAGAGGACATAAGCAGGGACAAACAGTAAATCACTCTCTTTTCTGCAAATCACTCTCTTATCTGCAAATCACTCTCTTTTCTGTGGAGATGCTGACCAGTCATCATATAGCAGGAAAAGGAGTTGCAGGTCTGGCACTCACTGGTAAGTCAAGACCACAAGGATATACATGGATTAGTAGTTATGGATTAATAATTATGACAGAGATAGCCAAATAAGAAACCCTAGTCACCGACCAACAATATTATAATTATTAGTCTCTGAGTGTTCATTTGGGGCTGACCAGGCTGATGGGAAGAGATGTTGTAATGTAGGTTGACCCATCATAGTATCCTAAATATACTTATGCAGGTTCCTCCAAAGAAGACCTTGATAGAACCAGAGAATGAAAGTGACCCATGTCAGTACAAAACAACTTTTGACTATAATACAGTATATATTGCTGGGTCACAGCCCCCACATAGTCTCTGTGAGTTGCTGGTTGGGTGACAGGTGCATCCTGTTTCCACCTGTTGCATGGCCTAAGAGCAAAGGGATTATTCTATAGAGTTTAGCACAGGAGAGGATACAGAAATTCTCCTGAATTTTTATGGTTGGACAAAGAAATCTAGATTAAAAAAAGGTTTTTAGAAGAAGCCTCAGAAAAACTGCTGCCCTGTCAGACCCCACCTACAACAGAGTAAATGTAGATACAAATTAGGCCATTTCAGCTAAGATACAAATAAGGCTTTGTCACCAAGTGAGAGTTTTAGAAATTGGATTACTCACAAGCTTCAAGTAATTTTCAAGTTATTTGGGACTATGTTATAGGCTACAGAAATTAAGCCTCAAAATATATAAAGGATAGTTCACAATCTTTGACTGATTTTCAGAAGCTGTTGAGAAATATTCAGTGGTTGCTTCCTTTTTAAAAGGCATCTACCAAAGACCCCAACCCCAGCGACTCCAGCTTCAGGTGAGATTGGGTCTCCGGCAGGGACCGCCTGCCCTTCTCCCATCCCCCTTGATCTTCGGGGCCGTTCCCGGCATCCAAAAGACCCGCCCACACAGGAAAGACATCAGCCCCTCCAAGACCCCAACCCCAGCGAGTCCAGCTTCAGGAAAGACATCAGCACCTCCAAGACCCCAACCCCAGCGAGTCCAGCTTCAGGAAAGACATCAGCCCCTCCAAGACCCCAACCCCAGTGAGTCCAGCTTCAGGAAAGACATCAGCCCCTCCAAGACCCCAATCCCATCGAGTCCAGCTTCAGGAAAGACATCAGCCCTTCCAAGACCACAACCCCAATGAGTCCAGCTTCAGGAAAGACATCAGCCCTTCCAAGACCCCAACCCCAGCGAGTACAGCTTCAGGAGACCTGCCCACACAGCAAAGAAGTCAACAATTCCAAGACCCCAACCCCAGTGAGACCAGCTTCAGGAAAGACATCAGCCCTACCAGGACCCAAACTCCATGTCAGCATCCCCAGCTTCAGCTGCAGGAAGGAAGGAGACCAGTGGAGACGGAAAGACCCCACCAGCACCCACTGAAAGAAGAGATGGGAAGAAGACAGAATAAGAGATCACTCAGCAATAGAAACACCAACATGACCCCACCAGAATCCAGGGGTCCAACACCAGCAAGACCCAAAAAGCACTACATAGACGAAGAAGAGGAGACAGACCTTAAAAAATATTTCATGAAGATGATGGAGACCCTCAA